GTTTCGTGGCCCTGTGTCAGGTGTCTGCCACTCCCTCTCCCCCTTTCCCAGTGGTCATTTAGCAGAAAAAGAGGTGCAGGAGCTCATTAGCATGACTTATTTGCATATGCCACGCCCCCTGACATCACCGGAAGTGTGTCCGAAGGCAACACCCACCGCTCAGACTCCACTGGACTGTTTTGGATTGCTAGCTATCGGGGGGGGGACGTGCAGATCTGTCCTGGCAGAGGAGGGAGAGCTGGTACCTGAATAAAACCTGGTCTTAAAGGTGCCACTGGACTGTTTTGCGCTGGGGGGACCGGTGGGGGGGGGTCTCTGCAGCTTACCTGGCTGCTTCTTGCCCTGACTGAGGGCTGCTGGGAGCAGGGGGTGGGGCTTCTTGCATGTGCCCGCCCCCTGGGCTCTTTACTGCCGGAGCTCCGCTCCTGTGCGCTCCTGCAGGAAATGACCCCTGCCCTTCCCTGTCCTGAAGGGCTGCCTGGCTCCAGTGAGGTCCGTCGTCCCCAAGGGCTCCATCCTGGATCCATCCCTGGACGCTGCTGTCGTGGGGGGCAACGTGCTGACCTCCCAGCGGGTGGTCGACGTGATCTTCCGGGCCTTTGGGGCATGCGCGGCGTCTCAGGTGAGGGTGGCCTAGCATGGCCCCAGAGTCTGGGGGCACTTGCCCGGGGGTGGGTGTGTGTGGGTGGGGTTGGGGTCAGAAGAGAAACGGGCATGGGCTAGTCCTGCCTTGCTTCCCAAGAAGACACAGTGCGGAAGAAGGCCGTTGCTCTGAAAGGCTGCCTGAAGCCCGTTGGATCAATCTCTGCTCTTTCAGAGGCCAGGAGAAGAAAGCCCGCGGCCCTGCCTGCCTCTCTCTGTCCTCCACGGTTCAGGAGGGGAGGGAGGGGGCAGGTTTTTCCGTAGCCCTTGGGGGAAACGAGGGTGTGCTGCTCAGGTCCGCAGGCCTGGCTGAGGGGCCCAGGTGCAAAGAGAGCAGCACTGAATGGCTTGCCTGGACGCGAGCCATGCCCTTCCGCCCTGGGCCCAGGAGGGGTGGGGTTCCTTGCTGCTCTGGGCTTGTGGCTCTCCCCTGTCCCACCCTCCTTGCCCCTTGGGGGGATCACTGCCCCAGACCTGCCTACTTGTGCAGGATGGACTTTGGATGCCCATGGGGGTGGAGACAGATAATGGACATTTTCACCCCAATTTCCCCCTTGTGGCTTTGAGTGCTACCTGCACGGTGCCTCCCCTGCCGTTTCCAAGCCCGCACGGAGCCCCAAATCGGTTGAAGGGTTGTACTATTGAGGTTGGAACCTATTTCCCATCATTCACGGTGGCCCCGTTTTGTCAGGCTGGGGGGGGTCACCTTCATACCCCCCCTTCCCTCCTCCCTCCCTCTCCCCTTGCAGGGCTGCATGAACAACGTCACCTTTGGCAACGAGCATGTGAGCTACTACGAGACAGTGGCTGGGGGGGCTGGGGCAGGGCCCGGCTGGCACGGCAGGAGTGGCGTCCACACCCACATGACCAACACGCGCATCACGGACCCAGAAATCCTGGAGAAACGGTGCGTGCCTCTCTGAGTGGTCTGCTCTTACGGGGACACGGGGTGGGGGGGAGTTCGGGGTGGGGGAGGCCCCCAGGTCAGCCAACAGCAGGGGTCATTTCCTGCGGGGGCGCACAGGAGCAGAGCTCCGGCAGTAAGGAGCCCAGGGGGCAGGAACATGCAACTAGCCCCGCCCCCTGCTCCCAGCAGCCCTCAGTCAGGCCACCAGGAGCAAGAAGCAGCCAGGTAAGCTGCAGAGACCCCCCCTGGCCCACCTTCAGGTACAAGCTCTCCCTCCTCTGTGAGGGCAGATCTACCCCTCATAGCTAGCAATCTAAAACAGTCCAGTGGCACCTTTGAGACCAAGTTTTATTCAGGCACAAGCTCTCCCTCCTCTGTGAGGGCAGATCTGCATGTTCCCCCCGCCCCCCAATAGCTAGCAATCCAAAAGGGTCTGGTGGAGCCTGAGTGGTGGGTGTTGCCTTCTGACACACTTCCGGTAATGTCAGGGGGGTTGGCATATGCAAATGAGTTATGCTAATAATATGTGGCATATGCAAATAAGTTATTCTAATGAGCTCCTACACTTTTTCTACTAAATGACCCCTGGCCAAAAGCATCTGTGTTGGTAGTCAGAGTGTATCTTTGTCTGGGGGTGGGTTGGGGTGCACCTCCGGGTACCTGACCTGGGGTGCACCTTGAGCAGTGTTCCCTCTAAGCTGAGTAAGTGTGAGCCAGCTTACAGTTTTTTAGCCTCCGGCTCATACACTTTTTTCTTTGCTCAGGAAGGATGGGGCTCCAGAGCAAACTAATTTATGCAGCAGCCAAATCACTCGCTCACAGCTTGAATGCCGGTAGCTCACAAAGCAGAGGTTTTGCTCACAAGACTCTCCACAGCTTAGAGGGAGCATTGACCTTGAGTTCCCACTCTTAATTGGGCCAAGGCGCTTGGTATGGGGCGTGAGCTATTGAATGCCCCCACGTGCATGCAGCCGTCCCATAAACCCTTCGTGCTCGGTGGGACAGGAGGGCAGGAGTAGTTGTCAGACCCCCCCCCCCATTTCTGAGTGAGTTAGTAAGTAAGTAAATTTATTACAGTCATTGACCAGTACACAGTAAAAGAAGTAAAACCCCAAACTTTCTGTTCCCTATACAGGAATATAATATTTGTAAAATACATAAATAAACCACTAATCACCTAAAATATTAAGTGATGTAACTTAAAATACTTACAAAACCATCTCTAAAATATCTTCTACCAGTTTCTGAGGTAGCCTAGCTGTGTTCCCCTGCTCCTTGGAGTGCAGGTCAGAGTTGGTGCCGGAAGGGTGAGGGGTGTGTGAGACCCCCGTGGCCGTGGTAACCCCCCGCCCACCCACCCCCTTTCTGCCTCCTCCAAGGTATCCGGTGATCTTGAAGTGCTTTGAGGTGGCCCGAGGCACGGGGCACCCACCCACCCCCTTTCTGCCTCCTCCAAGGTATCCGGTGATCTTGAAGTGCTTTGAGGTGGCCCGAGGCACGGGGGGTGCCGGGCAGTTCCGAGGGGGGTGCGGGGTCCGGCGGGAGCTGCAGTTCCGGGAGCAGATGGTCCTGTCAGTGCTGAGCGAGCGGCGGGCGTTCCGGCCCTATGGCCTGCAAGGTGAGGGCCCCTCTGCGGGGGGCTTTGTGGGGCTCAGCACCCCCTTCCGTGGGACAGTGCATGCCCTGCCTGCCGATCCTGTCTGTGGCACGTGAGGGTCGGGTCGGGGGGGGGGAGGCTGCCTGGGGGTGAGGCAGGGTTGGGGCAAGCCTCAAAGCCCTGCTTGCATCACGACAGCTGGGAGGTGGGGTGGAAACCGGACCCAGAGGGGGGGGAGGGGAGGGATGGTGCCAAAGGCTTCCTTGGAAAAGTGGGGGAGGCGTCATGCCTGAACCCCCATGTGAGAGGAAGAGCAGAGGAGCAAAGTCACGGCAAGCACGTCAGGATCTGTGGGGGGCATCGTCAGGGTAGAGTCCTTCAGTTCAGGAAGGCAAGAGTCAGCAGTTGAGAACCAGTTTGGTGTCGTGGTGAAGTGTGCGGACTCTCAATCTGGGAGAACTGGGTTTGATTCCCCCACTCCTCCACTCGCAGCTGCTGGATGACCTTGGGCAAGCCGTAGTTCTTCTGGTCAGAGCTGTCCTTGAAAAAGAGCAGTTTCTGTAAAGAGCTCTCTCAGCCCCGCCTACCTCACAGGGTGCCTGTTGTGGGGAGGGGAAGGGGAAGGAGTTTGTAAGCCACTCTGAGACTCCGAGAGAAGGCCAGGGTGTAAATCCAATCTCCTCCTCCTCCTCTTCCTCTTCTTCCTCTTCTTCCTCTTCCTCCTTCTACAGCCAGGGAGGGATACAGGCACACAGAGGAAACCAGTATAGAGGTGGGGGGGGGGCGGTGGTGTCATGGGGTCTGAGATGTGGAGGGGATTTTGCTCAGTGAATTGTCATCTTGCCCTTTCTCCAAGGAGCTCAGGTTAAAGTACATTGCTTCTCCTTCTTCCACTGTATCCTCACAACAACCCTGTGAGGCAGGCAAGGCTGAGAAATGTAACTGGTCCGAGGTCACCCAGTGGGCTTCTGTGGCAGAACAGGGATTCGAACCCGTGTCTCCCAGGGGCCAGCCTGCCATTCTGACTCCCTGCTGGTTGACTGTGCCCCTTGCTGCCCCCTTGCCTGGGGGGGCACTTGCCCCCTCCCTGCTGCCTCCCCCCCCCTCAAGTCTCTCCCGCTGTTCCCTCCCTGGGCAGGGGGGGAGTCCGGCTCCCCTGGGCTGAACCTGCTGATTCGACGTGATGGCCGGACCCTCAACCTGGGGGGCAAGACGTCCGTGGCTGTGTTTCCGGGGGTAAGGCTGCAGCAGACTGCTTTTTCTCCCCCCCCCCCCGCAGTGGGGCAAAAGAGCCCCCCCCACAGCACTCCACAGCACTGCCCAGTCCTCTCCTCTTTCCTTCCTTCAGGACACCTTCCGCCTGCAGACCCCCGGAGGAGGGGGCTTCGGACCACCCACTGAGCCTGCGCCAGCCGAGATGGGGCCGGGGACGCCCGCCAGGGGCAGGCCCTTTGCAGAGAGAGGCAGCGTCTGTGACTATCGCCTGGCCCAGGAGACGGCGTGAAGACTGGCACTGGGGGCCCCCTCAGCTCTTGAGGGCAACGGTGTTGGGGGGGGGAGAGGGACTGTGGCTGTGTGGGTATTATGATTCAGGCTTTGGACGGCATCCCGTTCTTCTGAGGCCCCCCCGCCCCCCGGCTGTGGCTCCTCTGAGAGACAGTTTGGTGCAGTGGCTGAGTGCGCGGACTCTAATCTGGGAGAACCAGGCTTGATTCCCTACTCCGCTTGCACCTGGCTGGATGACCTTGGGCCAGTCACAAGTTCTCAGAGCTGTTCTCTCAAGGGCAGTCCCTGACAGAGCTCTCTCAGCCCCGCCTACCTCACAGGGTGTCTGTTGTGGGAAGGAGTTTGTAAGCCACTCTGAGACGCCAAGTGAAGCGCGGGGGGTAAATCCAATCTCTTTTTCTTCCTCTTGAGAGTTTTGGGAGGGGCCCTGGCTCAGTGGTAGAGCCTCTGCTTGGCATGCAGAAGGTCCCAGGTTCAATCCCCGCTATCTCCAGTTAAAGGATCTGGCAGGAGGCGATGTTGAAAGTCCTACAGCTGAGACCCTGGAGAGCGGCTGCCAGTCTGAGTCGACAATACTGACTTTGATGGACCGAGAGTCTGATTCAGTAGAAGGCAGGTTCATGTGTTCAGGTGGGGTGGGGAGGGGAAGAGAAAGGAGGGAGCTGCTTGGAGGATTGGGGAGGGGGGTGATGCCAGCTGAGGTCTTGCCATGGCAAGAGGTGGCGTAGCTCTGGCCGGCGCTCCCTCCCTCCCTCCCTCCCCCCCCCCCCCCCCCCCCCCCCTCCCAGCATGGCAGGAAGGCCCAGCAGAAAGGGGGTCTTCTGCTGGGGGACTGGCCTGGCCTTGCGACCAAGGCTCCCTCTAAGCTATGGAGTCTTGTGAGCAAAAACTCTACTTGGTGAGCAACTGGCATTAAAGTGGTGAGCGAGCAGTTTAGTTTGCTCTGGAGCCCTCCTTCCTGAGCTCAGACAAAAACTTGTGAGCTGGAGGCTAAGAAACTGTTGTTGGCTCACACTAACTCAGCCTAGAGGGAGCACTGCTTGCGACTTGCCCCCCACAGCTCCGCGGCTTCTGCCTCCCCTCCCGCCTGGCCTGTTCCCGAGCAAGGAGCTCCCGTACAGGGTTAGGAGAGCTGGGCCTGGCGTGACGCAGTCTGGGGTGGCGTGGGCCCTGCCCCTCCCCTGCTCGCAGTGCCCGCGGGCTGTTGGGCGGAGCTCACTGCAGCCCGTCGGCGCTCTGGGCTTGAAACACTCCTCTCCACTCCCAGTAGCCTTAGGGAAGCTGCTCCTGGCTCCCTGCTCTGCTGCCTGCACAAGCTCCTTCAGTGCTGCCAGCAGGTGCCCATCCAAGGGGCTGCCTTCTGCCGCACACACACACACCCCTCCCATGCCACGCTGGAGCAGGGGTGGAGGCAGAAGCCCCAGCCTGGTGTTTCCGTGCCTGCTGGGCACTCCGGGGGGGGGGGCAGTCCAAAGCACACTCCTTTCCCCTCCTCTGGGGCTGGGTCATGGCGTCCCTCCAGAGTTCTTGGGGTAAATAAGCCCTTCAGGTGCAATGCAGGACTTGCTTGTGGCGACTGAGGCAGGGGAGCCGAGGAATGGGGGGGGATCTTAGCCCCCTCCCACCTGCGGTGCTGCTGTTAGCGAGGCTTCCCTTGCCTGTGCGAAGGAGGGAGCACAGAAACCCCCCAACTTCAAGCTTCTAGGCTAGCGGGGTGTGTGTGTGTGTGTGTCTGAACTTGCTGAGGCCAAGAGGGGAAAAGGTCTTGGGTTGGTAGTGAATAGCTCAGTGAAAGTCTCGACCCTGCGTGCTGAAGGGGCAGAAAGGGCAGACTCTTCGTTTGGGACCCAGGTGGGGTTGCCGTGTTGGTCCGAAGCGGCAGAACAAAGTCGGAGTCCCGTCTTGGCACCTCTAAGACTTTGTTGGTCTTGAAAGGGCCACTGGACTCAAACTTTGGTCTTTTGTTAGGGAATAAAACAGCCGATATCGTCATGCCCCCGTATAGATCTATGGCGCAGCCTCATTTGGAATCCTGTGTATGGTTCTGGTCTCCGTATCTCCAGAAGGACATCACAGAGCTGGGAGAAGGTGCAGCGGAGGGCAGCCGAGAGGATGGGGGGGTTGGAGCCCCTCCCCTAGGAGGAGAGGCCGAAGAGTCTCTGGGACTTCTCAGTCTAGAAAAGAGAGAGCTAAGGGGAGACCTGGCAGAGGTTTCTAAAATTACACATGGGATGGAGAGAGTTGGCAAAGAGGACTTTCTCTCCCTCTCCCAAAATACTAGAGCTCGGGGGCATCCAGTGAAGCCGATGGGCAGTAGGTTCGGGACGGACAAAAGGAATTACTACTTTACACAGGGAGTGATCAAAATGTGGGATTCGCTGCCAGAGGATGCAGTGATGACCGCAGGAACTGACAGCTTTAACAAGGGGATTAGACAGATTCATGGAGGAGAGATCTATCCGTGGCAACTAGCCATGGTGACTGAGGGGAACCTCCACACTCTGAGGCGCTAATACTCTGAATCCCAGAGCCAGGAGGCCACAATGGGGGAAGGCCTCGGCCTCTCTGCCCTGTTGTTGGCCCTCCAGGGGAACTGGTTGGCCATTGTGGGAGACGGGATGCTGGACTGGATGGACCCTCCCTGGTCTGACCCAGCAGGACTCTTCTGGTGTTCTTCTCAGGGGAAGGCCTCGGCCTCTCTGCCCTGTTGTTGGCCCTCCAGAGGAACTGGTTGACCACTGTGGGAGACGGGAGGCAGGACGAGATGGACCCTCCCTGGTCTGACCCAGCAGGGCCCTTCTGGTGTCCTTCTCAGGGGAAGGCCTCGGCCTCTCTGCCCTGTTGCTGGCCCTCCAGAGGAACTGGCTGGCCGCTGAGTGAGACGGGAGGCTGGACTGGATGGACCCTCCCTGGTCTGACCCAGCAGGGCTCTTCTGAGGTTTTTCTCAGGGGAAGGCCTCGGCCTCTCTGCCCTGTTGCTGGCCCTCCAGAGGAACTGGCTGGCCCCTGTGTGAGACGGGAGGCTGGACTGGAGGGACCCTCCCTGGTCTGACCCAGCAGGGCTCTTCTGAGGTTCTTATCAGGGGAAGGCCTCTGCCTCTCTGCCCTGTTGCTGGCCCTCCAGAGGAACCGGCTGGCCACTGTGTGAGACGGGAGGCTGGACTAGGTGGACCCTCCCTGGTCTGACCCAGCAGGGCTCTTCTGGTGTCCTTCTCAGGGGAAGGCCTCGGCCTCTCTGCCCTGTTGCTGGCCCTCCAGAGGAACTGGCTGGCCCCTGTGTGAGACGGGAGGCTGGACTGGAGGGACCCTCCCTGGTCTGACCCAGCAGGGCTCTTCTGAGGTTCTTATCAGGGGAAGGCCTCTGCCTCTCTGCCCTGTTGCTGGCCCTTCAGAGGAACCGGCTGGCCACTGTGTGAGACGGGAGGCTGGACTAGATGGACCCTCCCTGGTCTGACCCAGCAGGGCTCTTCTGAGGTTCTTAGGAAGGCCTCGGCCTCTCTGCTCTGTTGTTCCCTCCAGAGGAACTGGCTGGCCACCGTGTGAGACAGGAGGTTGGACTGGATGGATCCAGTAGGGTTCTTCTTGCATTCTAATGAGATTCTGCACAAGGTTCCAGGTAGCAGGGTGGTGAGCCACAGCCCTGGGACCAATCCTTGGAGACTGCCCCTGGGGGAGTAAGGGAGGAGCTGCCTCCCCTCCTTCCAGTGCTCAGGGAATGAGGAGCCTCTTGGCTGCATGCCTGCTTTATGCTCCCCCCCCAAGATGGGTTGGAGTCTCCATTTTTACGCAATGTGAACTGGAAGAAGTGTCGCATGTTATTTCCCAAACCTCAGCAGATGGAAGTTTTTAAAAAGCTCTCTTGGGCTTTAATGACGGGGTTTGGAAGGGAAGGGGGGTGGCAATAAAGGTTTCAGCTGAGGCGGTCTTCTAGCTTCCCCCGTCTAAACTTCCACTGAACCTCAGGCCTGCCAAAGGTTGCTCCATATTCCCTGCAAAGGGGTGTGTGTGTGAGTGCACCTTCAAAAATAAACAAGTCAGCCTGGATCCACCACCCCCCCATCCTGATTTCTGAGGGATTCTGGGGGTTTAGTAACAAATAAATATACACTGCAAAAACCTTTTAACAAACTAATGTGTTCTATTTATGGTCATCATTTAGTAAAGTGCATAGTGTATCGTTATTTCATCCTAGTCAGGGATAAATATTCATTACATTCAATAAGCAATAACATTCAGTACATACAGATTGATAACTACCAGACAATTTTGCATCAGTGTTTTAAAAGTCAAGCCCCAACGGGAGTTTCTAGAATTATAAACCCGCCTCTCCTTGCATGAAGTCTTCCAAAAAGAGGGACAGCCTTCTTAATAATTGTATGGATGCTTTTTGCTGGTCCTACAAAAGACACATTGTGCAGCTAACATTCATGGACGGAGTACTCCTGTCATTCTCAAAAGTGATGCAAAATTGTCTGGTAGTTAGCAATCTGTATGTACTGAATGTTATTGCTTATTGAATGTAATGAATATTTATCCCTGACTAGGATGAAATAATGATACACTATGCATTTTACTAAATGATTATTATAAATAGAACACATTAGTTTGTTTAAAGGTTTTTGCAGTGTATATTTATTTGTTACTGGACTCTCCTAACACTGCAGGTCGGGTTGCTTCAGAGGGATTCTGGGGGGGCAGGTCCTGTTCCTGGGACACACCCCCCCTCAAGCTCCTCTGAGTTCTTTTATTGGTTGGGTGGAGACTGGCAAGGGACTGAATCTAGTAGAGAGAGAGAGAGAGAGAGGTTCTTAAACAGAGCTCAGTTTATTCCATTATATACTCTTAAGACAGAGAACGCTTTGTGGCATTTCAATATTTGACATAGAATATTTCGACACAAACCCAATACATAAAATAGTACACTTGTATAAAACTCAGAAGGTCCTGGACGAGCCACCGAGGTCTCAAATGGGGCTTGTTGATGGCCAGCCCCTTACCATTAGTAACCCAGAGGCATAGATCTTTCTTGGACCTCTAGTTGCTGACGTACCTATTGTGTAGGACTACCATGAACGTGACGCAGGCCACACTAGAACCGACCCAATTCCCTCCCCCTTCTCTCTATCTCTGGGGCCAGAAAGTCAAGGAAAGTCAAGGAAGCTAGATTTAGATTCCCTCTCCATTTTGATGCTGATCGTGACACCATGAACTTCTGGCGTGTATGAACATCCTCTCAGGCAAGAGTCACATACAGAGTTATCGGTACCAGAAGGCCACAGCGCCAGCGGAGCCCTGTAGCCTCCTTGGGAATGGAACCAAAGATTCAACAACTTATAGAAATTAAAGTAACACAGAGGGGTTTAACAGAGGACTGAGGGTCAATCCAGGCCCTGATTCCACAACACTGATCAGGATTGGTGCAGGGGCACACATTTCTGCTGGGCACCGCCAACCTGTGGCACTGCTGAACATGGTGCCCGGCTCCTGGGGCTTCACTACACAGCATGAGGAGGTGTTTGTGAATTTCCTGCCTTGTGCAGGGGGATGGACTAGATGGCCTTGGAGGCCCCTTCCGACGCTCTGATTCTAGGTGGTGTTATTATATGGCAGCAGTTAAAGTAGAAAGACGGAGGGAACGGCAGCCCCTCAGAACCACCTACAAAAATGTGCAACAGCACCAAAGGGGGACGAAAAGCCTCCCTATTGACAGCGAGGGCTGCAGCCTGGCCCTGGAGTGAGACAAGCTGGTGCCTTCAGCTCTCATCGGGCTTCCCCTTTGAAGCAAAGAATAACATTCCTTGCGAGAGGCGGAATTCCAAGGGGTCCTGCTTAGCAGCCCGGAAGATCCATTAGGCTTCCGACTCTTTGATTTAGGGCCTCCTTTTCAGCGGCCTCATTCAGTTCTCTGTGGGTAATGTTCTCCTTTGTGTTTTCTCACATGTCGCCACTGGATTATTTTTGTTCTTGACTTCTACATTTCTCCTATGTAACGGCATATGTATTTAAAACACACTCCACATCTTTCTCATTGTTCGTGGGTCGTTTTTTCTCTCTTCCCCCACCCACCCCCCTTTTTGTGCTTGCATTTTCTTTTCATTAAAGCAGTCCAGGGTAGAGGTCCGACTTGTCTCGACGCGTGAGGAGAACGGCTGCCAGCTCCCCAGTCCCCAAACCACCGGCATGGGTGTAGGGCGGGCGGTGCCTGGCAGCAGGTGGAGCGTGGCTGCCAGTTGCCTTCGAGGCTTTGGCAGTGCCGCCGGTGTGTACTTTGCAGCAGCAGGAGCAGCATTCAAAGTTCTCCCGAGCAGGAGGAGTGGGGGATTCTGTGGGCACTGCAAACAAGCGAAGGAATGTCTTGTGCGGGAGCTGGTTTTCTCCCTGGGTGAACAATTGGCCTTTTCCAGGAAGGCTGGGTGGACTGGGGGGGGGGGGGGTTCCGCTCTCTGCACCACTGGATTCTGCCACAGCAGGCTCTGAGAGCACCGGGAAGGAGGCCACATGGGTTAATGTTCATCTCTGTGGGTTTCAAGGGGCGGGGCTGGGTGTTCCCTCTTGGCTCCTTGCGGCACCCTGCCAGGCTCCACTTCTCAGCAAAATCCAGACACTCTCAGTGTGTGTGTGTAACTGACAAATGAAGAGAAGCCAAGACCGCTTATTCAATGACTCTAAGCACATTTTGTGACTGCCGAGCTTCTCGTTTGTCTATGAAGTTTTTCTGCCACTGGCTAGGTTATTGGATATAGAGAGATTGCACTGCAAAAGACCTATAGACTTGGTTAGCATTAAAACTGGATTTTAGCGGTGTACACGGGTCATTTCCTGCTGGAGCGCACAGGAGCGGAGCTCTGGCAGTAAAGAGCCCAGGGGGCGGGCACATGCAACAAGCCCCGCCCCCTGCTCCCAGCAGCCCTCAGTCAGAGCAAGAAGCAGCCAGGTAAGTTGCAGAGCACCCCCACCCAGTCCAAAACAGTCCAGGGGCACCTTTAAGACCAAATTTTATTCAGGTACAAGCTCTCCCTCCTCTGCGAGGACAGATCTGCACGTCCCCCCCCCCTCATAGCTAGCAATCCAAAACAGTCCAGTGGCACCTTTAAGACCAAATTTTATTCAGGCAGTAGCTCTCCCTCCTCTGTGAGGACAGATCTGCACATCCCCCCCCCCCAATAGCTAGCAATCCAAAACAGTCCAGTGGAGCCTGAGCGGTGGGTGTTGCCTTCTGACACACTTCCAGTGATGTCAGGGGGTGTGGCATATGCAAATAGGTTATGCTAATGAGCTCCTGCACCTCTTTTTCTACGAAATGACCGCTGGATATACAGATAGTTCTTAGAGTTCTTGACTAAGTGGTCTTGGCGTTCTCTGCATTCGGGTCTGCTTCTCCGCACAGGAGGGGGTGCTGCTGGTGTCCCCAGTTCAGCAGTGGTGGTTCTTTGCCGGGGGGGGGGAGAGAGTGAGCTCCTGCAGGGCTCCTTTCTTGGCAAAGAGGGAGGAGCCCGTGGCTGCCGCTGCAGCTGGCCCTGTGGGCACCGGACAGGCAATGCTCCCTCTAAGCTGTGGAGTCTAGTGAGCAAAAAATTCTACCTTGTGGGCTACTGGCATTAAATTGGTGAGCGAGCGATTTGGCTACTGCGTAAATTAGTTTGCTCTGGAGCCCTATCCTTCCTGAGTGTGTACAAATATCTGTGAGGGCCAGAGGCTAAAGAACTGTGAGCCGGCTCACACTAACTCAGCTTAGAGGGAACACAGCTGACAGGGCATATCCCCTTTGTCCTTTGGCGGCATCAGCCAATTCTGTCTCTGACTCGTGTTCTCTTTCCAAGAAAGGGAGGCCACCATTGATGCGGGCAGCATGCCCCAGATCTGAGCATTCAGCGTCCCTTCTCCTGGCCTGGCTGCCTGGCCCTTCCCGGAGTGCTGGCGTGCCTCCATGCACTTCTCCATGTGCCAAGCGGCTGGTCCAGGACGGCTCCGTTGCTCCCCAGCCAAGCCACCACACACACACACACCCCAGCTTGCAGCCTACTTGAGCCGCTGCAGAGGGCTGCTCTGTGGCCAGTGCAGGCCGGAGAAGGGCCTTGTTGAGCCGGGGTGGTGGTGGTGGGAGCACATGGACGATCCCCGGGTGGGACTGGGCTCTGTGTTCGAGGTGACAGAGTGTCTCCAGGAGGAGCCCGGGCCTGTTGCTGGGCCTGGCCTGTGATGGTGCTCCAAGGGGGTTCCCTGCAGGGACTGGTGCAGACGGGATGGCCCCCGCCTGGATCTTATGGTGTGTATGTGGGGGGGGACCTCATCCTCACCATACAAGAACTCCTTGTGGGCCCTCCATGAAATTGCTGAGCGGTCGGGTTAGAACAGATAAAAGGAAGTCCTTCTTCACTCAAAGATGGAATTCCCTGCCACAGGAGGGGGTGGCAGCTACAAGCATGGACAGTTGCAAGAGGGAACTGGATAAACATCTGGAGCAGAGGTCCATTGGTGGCTCTTAGCCACAAGGTATAGATAGGCGCTCTTGGTCTGGGGCAGGTGATGCTCTGTCTTCTTGGTGCTTGGGGGGGGGGGGGACAACAACAGTGGGAGGGGCTCCTAGTGTCCTGGCCCCACTGCTGGACCTCCTGATGGCACCTGGTGTTTTTGGCCACTGTGTGACACAGGAGTGTTGGACTGGATGGGCCATTTGGCTGGATCCAACATGGGCTTCTCTTACGTTCTTATGTTCTCTTGTAGAGAACACAGCAAGAGGGCACTAGGCCTGTGGTAACACATTTGCACACACACACACATCCATTTGACAGAGGCCACCCGCCACACCCGATTCTGGAGAGCTGGGAGACCGGAGATGGAGTCCTTCATGCTGCCTGTTCCTTCTCTCTGTGCTGCTTCCGTCGGGGTATCTGAAGTCCCCCAACGGGGCCTCCCCAGGGCGGTCACAGGTCAGGAAATTGGGGTTGGGGCTCCCTCTCTCTCCCCTTGCCCCACGGCCTCAGTCAGGTTTGGGAATCGTGTCCCAAGCATGGAAGTGGCAGGGCACTCTGGGGGGAGGGTGCAAACACTTCTCCCCCCCCCCAACCACACACACACCACTCCTTGCAACCAGCAAAGGAGGGAGATAAGCGAAGGTGGTGCCTGAGCAGCGGAGCAGGGGAAGGGTGGTGCCCTGGTGTTTGTGACTGCCCCGGCCATAATCATCGCCTGCATTCCAAGATAAGGCACACAACCGGATGGACCGCATTTCAGGGGGGAGCTGGAAGTTCCCCGGGCCTGACAGCGGCAGACTGAAACCCAGAGCCCCAACCAGCCCTCTCAAACCACACTCCTCCTCCTCCTCCTGCTTCAACACAGCCCACTCAGCCCAACAGGTCGCTGTGCTTGGAGCCCTCCGCCAACCTCCCATTCTCAAGTTTCCAGACTGACCAGAAGCCATGCCGCAGCCAGTATCTCCTGGCTCGACAAGAACAGGGCTCCAGACCACCCAGACTCTACTGGGTCCCAACATGGGGGTCCCTCGGCCCACTTGTGTCTCAAGGACAGCGTGTCCCACTCCTCGCAGGCTGGAGGGCCCCCCACCCACCTCACATACATGCTCACCAGCCAAGGAGTGCCCATTCAGGGTGGGGAAGGCAATTCAGGGTGTGGATTTAACCACCGGCACAGCTGATGGCCTGGCTGATTTTTTAAACATCAAGTGTTGCTTCTGGAGCCTCCGAGGGCAGGTCACTTGGACGGGGTGAGAGGGGCACACCAGCCAGCCAGCCATGGCTGAGGGCCCTGAAGCCCCACTGATTCCCAGGGGCAGGGTGGGGGGGGACACACACAGAGTGAAGCCTGGGAGATGGGACGAGAGGCCCTTTTGGCTCACTGAGAAGAATTTATTTTCGGCTCGTCTTTCACAAGTATTTTGGAAACGTAAAGAACTTTCCTGAAATGTGCAAACAGCGTGTTCATTTTTTTTTGTCCTGCATCACAAATTCTGGACTATTTTCTATGGTGCATGGAAATGCTGGCATAATCGTTACAAAATCAAAATTGCAAATAGATAAGAAAATATTGAGGAGGCGTAGGGAAGGGCGCCTCCCTCCTCCACGGGTGGTACATTGGCAGGGGATGGGGGGGCTTTGGGGGTGAGGGTGGACCCTTGCAACGGCACTTTCCCCTCTGCTCTGTGTCCCATTCCCGTCCACCCCACCCCCCAGCGACCACCTCTTCGCTCACTCCTGTTTGGGCCACCCTGAGAGAGGGATTGAGCAGGGCTCCGGTCACACGGCCCACTTCTTCGCCAAGAGAGCAGCAGAAAAGCCCATCTGTCTGCAGGCAGAAGCAGGGACTGGTAAACTCACGCTCTGAACACTGCAGGCTGCAGCGGCCGGGCCGGGCCCACTCGCCTGACTAGCCGGGAGCTCTCCGGAAGGGCCGCCCTGAGGTGGGGGCCTAGGTGCTGTCACCCGGCCCCCGGCAGTGACTGAACCGCAACGGGGCTGCTGCTACAGAAGCTGCCGTTCCTCTTTTTGCTCCTGGCTGGCACCCTCTCCCTTCCTGTCCGCCAGAGGGGCAGGGGGGGGAGCGCCAACCGCCACGCTGTCCAAGTGCTGGAGGAAAGCGGGTGCCGTGCCCAGCCCTTCAGCGGCTGCAGGGTTCAAAGGGGCCTCTTGGTCTTCCTCGTCTTCGCCTTCCCGGCTCCGTGGTAGCAGGCAGAGGTCACGCTTCGGGCTGTGCCGCCGGGGCCACCCGGAGCTGCAGCCCCACGGGCATGTGGTCAGAGCAGGTGGCCAGGTGGGTGATGAAAGAGACCCGTTCCACAACCTGTGGGGGGGGGGGAAGAGAGGGAGGCGGCTGAGGCAGAGCGCTGGGCTAGGGGGAGAGCGGCAGGGCAGGGCAGTGATGGACCCAGGAAGAATTAGACCGCATTCTGGACCTTTTGTACTCTGCACAAAAGCTGAGGGAGGAGGAGGAGGAGGAGATTGGATTTATACCACACGCCCTTCACTACCCAAAGGCGTCTGAGTGGCTTGCAAACTCCTTTCCCTTCCCCAAAGCAGACGCCCTGCGAGGAAGGCGGGGCTGAGAGAGCTCTGACAGAAACTGCTCTTTTTTTCAAGGACAGCTCTTATCAGAACCCTGGCTTGCCCAAGGTCATCCAGCAGCTGCAGGTGGAGGAGGAGTGGGGAATCAAACCTGGTTCTCCCAGATTAGAGTCCGCACACTTCACCACAACACCAAACTGGCTCTCATAGCTGCATAGGGATGCTGGGAACCAAAGCGGATTGTGAAAAGCGCTGGCAGGCGGGCGGGCGGATCTCCACAAATCTGGCGAGTGGGCAGCCACTCAGCAAAGGAGACTCAGCGTGGGCAAGTGGAAGGTGAGGCTCTTTTGGAAGGAAACAGTCCTAACTTTAAGTGCAGGCTGATGAGGTCAGAACCATCCAGGACTGAGAGGGAAAGATCTTGGGGTTGCAGAGGACGGCTTGGGGAAGGCGGCCACTGAGTGTGTGGCAGCAGGGAAAAGGGCAAGCGACCTGCTGGGAATGATTAGGAAAGGGATTCCAAATAAAACCACAAATGTTGGGACGCCCTGGTGTAAATCTATGCTGTGGGGCTTCACTGGCAATGCTGCCTGCAGTCCTGGTGGGTGCATCTCGAAAGGGACATTGCAGAGCTGGGAGACATCCGGAAGAGGGCAGCCGAGCTGATTAAGGGGGCCGGAGCATTTTTCATGATGGGGCTTAGCTGGGGCTAAGGGGAGGGGGACACGGCAGGAGTCCATAAAACTGTCCATGGGGTAAAGAAGGCGGACAGAGGGAACCTTTTCTCCTCCCCCCAAAGCACTGGAACTCAGAGTCACCCAAGGAAGTTGAGAGCCAGTCTGGTGTCGTGGTGAAGTGCTTGGACTCTAATCTGGGAGAACCGGGTTGGATTCCCCACTCCTCCTCCACTTGCACCTGGCTGGATGGCCTTGGGCAAGCCGTAGTTCTGCTAAGAGCTGTCCTTGAAAAAGAGCAGTTTCTGTCAGAGCTTTCTCAGCCCCGCCTCCCTCACCGGAGGGTGTCTGTTGTGGGGAGGGGAAGGGGAAGGAGTTTGTCAGTCACTCTGAGACTCCTCTGGGTAGTGAAGGGCGGGGTATAAGTCCACTCAGTTTGGTGTTGTGGTTAAGTGCGCAGACTCTAACCTGGGAGAACCGGTTTTGATTCCCCCACTCCTCCTCCACTTGCACCTGGCTGGATGACCTTGGTCAAGCTGTAGTTCTGATAAGAGCTGTCCTTGGAAAACTTGGGCAAGCCGTAGTTCTGATAAGAGCTGTCCTTGAAAAAGAGCAGTTTCTGTCAGAGCTTTCTCAGCCCCGCCTCCCTCACCGGAGGGTGTCTGTTGTGGGAAGGGGGAGGGGAAGGAGTTTGTGAGCCACTCTGAGACTCCTTCGGGTAGTGAAGGGCCATGGGGTAGAAATCCAATCTCCTCTTCTTCTCTTGATGGGCAGCCGGTAAGGGATTGGGGGAGGGGGGGGAGAAATGTTTCTTTACTCGGGAGTGATTAGAAGGGGGGGATTCGCTGCCCGGGGCTGTAGTGATGGCCAAAGGCAGAGGTGGCTTTAGAAAGAGATGAGACTGATTGAGGAAGGAGAGGTCCATCAGTGGTTCATGACCGCTCCATCTGGAGAAGCAGGAAGAAGTATGGGGGGGGAACATGCCTGGGCCCCTCTACACACACCCCCCGCCGGCCCTCCAGAGCCACCCTCTGGCCCACTGACCGGGGGAAAGAGGGTGCTGCTGGGCCTGCTGCAGCCGGGCTCCTCCGGTGTTCTCAGGCAGCTCTTTCACCTTCCCCCACCGTGTTTGTCCAGAGGCGATAAGCAGGATTGTGTCGGCAGGCATTCTCGGCATGTCTGCGGTGGTTTCGAGCGGCCAGCTAGTTTCGTGCCCCGGGAGGGGGGTGGGGGGCTGCGGGGAGAGCAGGCTGCCCGGCAAAGTCTCTCGGCAGGAGCTCTTTTCCTTCTGGGCTGGGCGGGGGGTGGGGGTGGAAGGGGCCCTCCAAGGAGCAAGGGCCGAACGCCCTGGGCTCGCGCTCTCCCTCATCCTGAGCTGGGGTGGCGAGGGGCTCGCCACGGGTCTGACCCCCCCCCCTGCCAGGGCGACCTCCTCCGGCCCTCTCCCTCGGGCACGGCCCCCAGGGTGGCCCTTGCCCGTGGCTGAGCTCCCGCCCAGGCATTCGGTGGGGGGGTGGGGGTCCTGCCGACTCTCCGGGCCCCTCCCAATGCACAGCCAAGACAGCCCCCCAGGACTCACCGTTTTCAGCTCTGCGGGTCCCTGGTGCTCCCGGTAAAGGATGTAGTCGATGCGCCGGCCCTCGCTCGGGATGGCTGACAGGCCGGAGCACGGGGTCGTCTGGAGGGGGCCCGCCAGGTACTTCTGCCGTCCCTCTGAATGCTCCAGAGTCCTGGAAGGAGAGAATGAGTGCAACCCAGGAAGAGTGCCTGGAGGAACGGCCCTCAGAACCCACCACCGTCTTCCCACCGCCTCAGCCTGGCCTGAAGGAAAGCACGGGGCCCCCCAAAGGAGACACAAACCCCCATGGCCAGATTTCTAGGAACGGCAGAGACAAGACACCAGTCCCACTCTACGCTAGATTTGGGGGAAGTGGAGGACTATGTGCTGTCTCCTGCCCCGGACTTCAGAGACGGCACCATAGATTTAGATAGATAGGTCAGAACACAGACAGAGCGTACTTTCCTTCCTACTATCTGTTACTATCCCTTTGAAGGAGAATGCTATTCTACTTCCTTCCTTCCAGCTTAACACACCTCTCTCTCTCACACACACACACACAAAGAAGAAACACACTCTCCGCCTTTCGCACCATGGAAGCAGGACAGGCATTTGGCATCTGCATCCATCCTAGCTGGTTAGATTAGATTCTAACCCTATCTCTCACCTGTACTATCTAGAATGGAGTTCCCTGACTAAAGGACTCATTTTAGTTCGAAACTGACAAGTGGCTCCATGTGACTTTGCAACTTTGCTAGCACACACAGTACCGAGAAGCTGCTGCTGCTGCATGTAAGCCTAGTGCACCCTGCTACCAACAGAAATTCACGGTCGTACCATACCAGTGAATCTACCAAGACTGGCTGCCGACACTGCCCGATTCTCCCCCCAGCAGTGAAGAGCCTGCTGGCTTGACCTCCCGACCCCCACCAAGCCCCTCACCTCTTCATGGTCTCTGGGGTCGCCACAGCCTCATCGTACATGGTCAGGGGGTTCATCAGCGTTCCTGTGGAGTTCAGGGCAGCCCTTTTAGCCTCTGGCAGGCAGGACACTCCCCCCCCCACACCGCCCCACTCCACCGTCTTGTCATGCAGAGCTAGGGGGAAAGCTCCTAGTTCAGGGTGGAGGTTGGGACAGCTCTTAGCCACAGGCCTCCCCCCCCTGCTCTCGGGATGTCCCCTGGGGCAACGGGCAAAGCTTTTGAGCCCCAGAGACCCCACAGAGGGCCTCCGCTCTGGGCCTCCTGCCCCTCAGGACACCGGAGGGGATGGGGGAGGGGCACCCTTGGGCGAGGAGGCCCCGCAGGGCGAGGGAGGCACCCACCGAGAGCCCACGGCTTGTCCCGCCCCGGCCCGATGCGGCACGGATCTGTGTACAGGCTGAAGAGCTCGTGGGCCTGCTCCATCTTGTCATCTGGGGAGAAAGGCAGGCGTATGAGCAGAGGGTGGTGGCAGCCCCAGGAACCCCCCCTCCCCTC